TTATACAATTTTAATAAACCTTTCTTTTTTTTTTTTTTTAAATCAAGAACATATATCATTTTAGAACGAAAAAAAAAAAGAGGAGAGACCTGTTTATCTGTTACAATAAGTGCTTTTCATAAAATGACTAAAAGGTAAAAACAAACCTAAATAAGTCAGCTTGGAGAAGTTGAAACGAAATATATTCATGTCGAACTGTCCGAATAACGGTTATCTTGTCATACGTTCCGAAAAACAAACTCGACACTTTATTCAAGAAACGTTTAAAAAAAGGCAAATATTAGCTTTACATTCCTCAAAACACCCTCCACGGGCAGGAAAAGGTAACTTCTGGGAGTTGCATATATTACTATTACATTCCTTTTGTACTTGCAACAACGTTACCAATTTATTGTGAAACGCTTTCATCCCCCCCCCCTTTTTATATTTTGTTCCTGTAAACAAAAACACACCTTTAGTGACGTAGCTTATCTTTGTAAAGCAACGTCCTCGTTTCCGTGTAACTTATCTATCGAAAAGACTATCTTTCCCAAACAAATATGTTACTGTGTAATATAAAGTAGTAATCTTGCTGTATTACACGCGATTTTTTTTTATACTGATACTGTAATGGTAGTGGATATTTTGAACATTTGTAATGTTAATCTTACCCTGTGCTCATGCAAAGACAGCTTAATCATGACGTAAGATTTGTTGTGACAGTTGTATTTTTGTTTTCCTTTATTGGAGGGCTAGTTGTGGCCCATCTTTGGTTTTTCTTTTGTTCATTCTATGAATATCTCCACGTGCAAGATTTAATATACTCACAAGAAATGATGGACGATAGTGAAGAAAAGGTTTTCTCAAGCCACAGTTGTCCGATTCTTTATGTATCAAGCACACATTTCTTTACTGGGTAATAAAATATTCAATATGTTATGGTACTTACGAGTTATGAAAAACTATTGCTTCTCTCTGTGTTATAAAACGGCCACTGTTTGTGCTATAAATTGAATACACTGAAAACAAAAACCGAATGCCAGTAACTTTCGAGTTCAGTCCGTACCAAACTTACTGAGAAGTGAGAAACCCACGTATGAACTAATACATTTTGTTATACGTATGTAATCAAACGTTCTTCAGTACTACGGAATATTATCATTACTATATTACCATGCTTCACAAATTCACCAGGAGCAGCTGTTGTTGTGTATTTATAAGGTCGACTTTACTTGAATACATTATTTATCCCTATGCCAGTATAGTCACAATATGGTAGAAACCAATACTATGCTGATTATCCCATGAACTATATATTTTAATAAACATATAAACTTTCAGTGACATTCAAAATGTCCTTTAGATTTCCCAATAAGTATCAGTACATATATCCTTTGTACACATACGTACTTGTGACGTATATATATACATCATTAGCTGACGCTTAGATTTAAATTCCGCTAAAAAACAATGGATGGGATATACTTAACATTATTAAGTAAAATAGACTCCGGACTTGAACTCAGAACGTATGGTTAAAATTTAGAGGTTTTTTATTTCAAATTTAATGAAAATTACGGGGGATAAAATGGTGCTTCGCGTAAGATGTCTGTATTAAAATTATCTGACTACTGAAACATAGATTTAAAAAATAGATACAGACGGGACTCAATCCTCGAACTCCCGCATACGAAGAGTGCGCTGTGCTATACAAGCCTAATCCCAGATAGTTTTCACAAACACAGTATTATTAAGTGAAATACTATATATATGAAAAGGTTATATGTTTTAAACAGATAAAGCCTTTGAATAATGCCGTTGTTGTAGTTAGATGTAAAGTAAATAAGTGTAAAAATATCGAATTACTATAAACGAAATATATCTCTGTACACAACATTTCTTGTATAAACACCTTGTCATTCTGAATAATCGCTAACTTTGACTAAAATCTTGAGATCATTTTCTTAATCGATTTCTTGATATTGTTAAATAATGAATACTTAAAATTATATTATCAAGATGTGTGTAAAAATCAAATATTTTCGTTTCTAGCTATTTAGCTTTTCTTTTTCTTTCCATAATGGTATCGTTTTTTTTTTACTCTTCCCTTGAGTATTAAGGACGCGTCGGGTCGACTACCACCAATAACTGAAATGGTGTAATATTTAATTACCCTAGCGGTTATATTCGTGTTTCATGTACGAAGTGTATTAAAACTTTAGGCCTAATTGTCGAATTTTTGGCGCCTGTTGGAATTTGTATTGAGATATGGTGGTATTGCGTTATTTATAAGCCACGGAAAGGTAAATAATTAACTGAATGTGTTTCCTTGCGTGTTTGTTTATGTCACTGAAGTAATTATCTTTAAAGTTACGTCGTAATTTTGCACTCGTACACACGTGAAAATATCAATTAACCAATAGGATTATTGGGAAAACTTTTGTTCTTCATTTTACATTTATAAAAAACAATTTTTCCTCTCGAGCTAACAGTCGTACACGTAATGAAATCACACAACAGCTTTTACCCTAATCACAAGCAAGTATTCTTAATCATTACTAAGACACCGTTGTTATATTCTTCTAGGACTAATTAAGTATTTCTAGCCTATGATTACGACACACATTGTAAGTCTAACACATTTCAGATAACTTAAGCAGTAGTTCGTAAAACTTATATTTATACGATTTCCTTTAATTAAAAAGGCACAGTAATAGATAATTCTATCGCTATTCATTACCATATATGTTCTCTGATAATTCTATCGTTATTCATTACCATATATGTCCTCTGATAATTCTATCACTATCCATTACCATATATGTTCTCTAATACTTCTATCGCTGTTCATTACCAT